CCAAAACAAAAAAGAAAAACAAAATATTGGAGTAATAATCTAATTCATTTATCACCAAAAATGTATTTATAACTGTTTTTGTTTTCTTAAGTTTCTGTTCGAGAATGATGAAAACAGAAGAAATTGACTTGGAAGGTTATATATCAATAAAATCGCATGTAAGAAGGTAAATCGAAAAAGATATATCCTAGATAATTTTAGACTATTAGATTATTATTAGTATTTTAAGCAAGTCTATATATATGATATATGGATATGTATTACCTTTGTTTGGGTCAGTCTTTGTTCGTGTTCTGATGATGTTGTGAATAATGTCGCTATAGCTTTTCCCTTCAATTCTGTTCTTCACAACTTAAATGTTTTTCACACACAGATCTGTCAGTTAGTCTGTACGTCTGCAAAAAAAAAGGATGTCGAAATTAGATATTGGATAAACTGAACAAAAAAAAAAAAGATTGTAGAAGGAACTGAGAGTATGAGATTGAATGTAATACGATGAATGCATTAGAAATATATAATATTTATAGGGATATGATTAATATCTCGTCGGATTCAACAGCTATCCGATATTTTTTATTCTATGATTAATATCCCGTCGGATCCTATCTGATTTACTTGATTGTGCTTATGATGAGTTGGCAAAAATATGTGGACAATTTCGATGCAATATGTAACAATTAATAAATTTGTGAACAAATAAAATTCTACAAAATCGGATCATATATCTATTGGTTAAAAAAAAAAGAATAATTGCCAAACAAATGTGAAAACTGAAAAGCCGTCAAATCGTCAATTTTGTAGCTGCCCAAAAAATCTGTAGTTATCGTGGATGAGAGATTTATTACTTAAATTTAATTTTATCACGTGAGGCCCATTGGTGTTACTTAAATTAGTAAGTCAAAACAATATTTTTCAAGTCAATCATACTATTTTTGTATTTTTCCAACAACCTCTTTATATTACTATAGATATAGATAGATAATAATAATAATAACTCAATTTTCTCAAAATATTCAATCATCATCATCTGTCAAGTTAAGAATCCCTAATTTTCCCCCCCAAATTATGAAGGCCACATTCATAGCGCCATTTCAGTCAAGCAGATAAGGTTTCTCTTTCCTCTCCTTCTCCTTCTTCTTCTCCTTCTCTCCTATTCACCGTGCAGACCATTTTTGTGTCTTGACAAAGAGAAGGAAAAGAAAAGAGAGTCTGCTTAACTCCGACTCCATAGCAGTTTATCCAAATTGTAAACCCTAAAAGTTCTCGAAAAATTGATTCTTGAATCTCCGAAGTTACTAATTATGGCTTTGGCCCTTCAGGCTTCTCTCGTTAGACCCTCAATCACGCAGCTAAACCCTCTTTCTCTCACTCTTAAACCCCAGATTTTCAGATTCCACTCTCATAGGTTTATTTGTCCGATTTCTCTAAAGTCCAGATATTTCCGGCACAGCTTAGTTTCTTTTTGTACGTTGAGTTCAGATAATGTAAATTCGGCTACCGGCCCAGTTGATAGTAATGGTTTTAGAGGAACAGCCGAGCAGGATGAGTTGAACAATGTAGTTGTATCATCGACCGAACGAGAGGTCAGTGGCGAAGCGAAAAACGAGGATGTGGAGAAGAAGAGTTTGCCGATTGTGGTGTTTTTTATGGGATTTTTCACGAGGTTGAAGAACTTTATCGAGCGTGTATTTTATTCGGATTGGTTCAGCTTGGGGAGCTTTTGGAGTCACGAGAAGCGCTTGGAGCGGTTGATTGAGGAGGCAGATGTGAATCCCATGGATGCTGCTAAGCAAAGCCGTCTGTTGGCCGAGCTCAATAAGCACAAGTTAGTAACTTTTAGACTGGAATTGGCCTCTTTATTGGCTCGCAAATAAAAGATTCGTGCTTCTGTTGTTTTGGATTGAGCTGTATCGACCTTTCGGTATATATGATTTCTAGTCAGAATGAGACTTAACGATTAGGATAATGAGTGGAAGCCAGAATGGTTTAATCATTTTTCCTCTTTATTTGCTAGGAAAAATAAATTTGTGTGGCGTTATTGCCATATCAGATTTTTATTCTCTGATAATATTTTTTTGGCTTGTTTGGTGGGCTTATGTGCAACAGAATGTGGTGAGACATGTAATCTTGCTGTGCTTAAAATGGGTGTTGGGGGTGTTTTGATGTTTTCACGCAATGTAAAAAGATGAAAACTTAGTGCACTACAGATCTCAATCCAACTGCAAATGTCTGTTGATTTTGAAGAATGTTATGTCTAGAAACTGGAAATAATGTACATTTTATGAAGTTGAAGATTTTTTTTTTTCTCTTCTATTATTTTTTAGCCCTGAGTCTGTCATCCAACGATTTGAACAAAGAGCACACGCTGTAGACAGTACCGGAGTAGCAGAATACCTTCGTGCGCTGGTGGCCACTAATGCAATTGCTGAATATTTGCCCGACGAACAATCTGGAAAGCCTTCTAGTCTTCCTTCATTGGTATTTACCTTGATCCATTTTCTATTTCTTTCCATATAGCAATTAAATTGTTGTTCATTTGCCCTGTGTGTCCATCTGTATTAGTTGTTACAGTCTATGTTGGTGTTTCATTTCAGTTATACTATAGTCGAAGCTTTAGCTGCATATTATTGAAGCACCGAAAGCTTTATTGCTTCCTCTTTTATGTCATATTAATTTATGCTTGTTGTGTTTCAGCTTCAAGAGTTGCAACAACGTGCATCAGGGAATATGGAAGAGCGTTTTGTGAACCCTGGTATATCCGAAAAACAGCCATTACACGTTGTGATGGTAAGAGAAAAACATGCTCAAATGGGAAGGGGCTGGGGCAAGAAAATTGAAAATATTTCTTCTCAAATCTTAGCACTTTTTTTTTTTGCTGCCTACCAGGTGGATCCGACTAAAATGGCTAGTAAATCGTCCCGATTTGCACAAGAGGTCATATCAACTATTGTGTTCACTGTTGCTGTTGGTTTAGTATGGTACGACCCCTACTTTTAGTGGCTCAATTCTAGTCGATGCATTCATAATTTTGCTTCAATCTAGTTGTGGAGTTGCAATCACGAGGAGTTGCTATCTGGTTTAGTATGCCATTGCTCTTCTTATTCTTCTTCTTCTTCTTTTTTTTTTTTAAAAAAA